GAGAGAGGAGAGAGGAGAGAGAGAAGAGAGGAGAGAGAGAAGAAAAAAAACATATTTTTTGTGATATAGGATATAGTAAATCCAGCATATTGGATTTAGCAGAACTAATGGCAGAAACAGCAGGTAAACATTTTAATAAACTAGAAACAGGTACAGAAATTTCACTTGATCAAACTGATTCATTAACAACAACATCAATAACATCAACAGCATCAACAACAAACAAACATGTCACCACAACGAAGAACAACACAATCTCAAAAGTGATATTCAATGATGGTACTTCAGCAGGGATACTGAATGGTTTGAAAAAGTGTACGCGTGCGATGCATTTGCACGAAGCTGATGTTACGCTGAAAACGTTAGGTGTAATATTACCATCACCATCGGACATTACATCTAACAGAATTGATCAATTTCGATCAATTCTAATGACAATGTATGAAAAACCTGGTCAATTCTTGAGAATTTTAAAAAACGAAAATATCGATGTTTCCGGTTCAAAATTAAATATATTTGTAAGTAACTTGAATATTTTGAACATAAATTCTAGTATTTTTAGGGCGCATCTACTGGTGATTTAATTGCAGCAGAATTGGTTAGACAGGCAGCGTCATTATCAGCCGATCAGTTGTTTGAACGATTCATTTTCTGGCCTGTTGATGGTGAACCAATTCGAAATGATCAATGTATTACATCAATCGATTTCTATGAATATTGTTCGTTAGAACAATTTTCAATTTTCTGTGGTTTTTTTGCTGATCTAATTCTGGATATTGAGTTGGACGGAAAAACCATTTTAGCTGATCAAGCATTTGAATTTCGAGTTGCTGGTATGTGAATTACATCTTTCTTGAGAATTGAAAGTATTTTTTGAGATTTTAAAGTGAAAGACATTATATATATGGTGCATTCCAATATATTTTAGTATACACTCCTAGAGAAAAATTACTTTTTCGTAATGAAATTCTATTTTTTGCTGAGCAACTGACTAATTTTGTTTTAGCAAAACAATCAGCTGCTCAATCTGATCTAGGAATACTAGTTTTGAATTAATTTAATGAAAATCCTGAACTAGGCTGATCCCTACAAACTTGTAGGAGGAAGCAAGTCAATACAGGAGAAAATATCACCTTTTCATAATGAAATTTCTTTTTCTTAAACAACTTATCAAATTTGTTCCAGGAAAAGAATCAGCAGATGACACTGATATAAAATTACCAGTCTGTAATCTACTTTATAAAAATCCTGAAGTCAGGTAAATTCAACATATTCGTAGGAAGTATGTATATACGAAAAAAACAGTTTTTCCTCAAAAAAGTATAGTTTTTCCTGAAAAATCTGTCGATTTGTAGTATCATCAGAATCACCAGATAAAGCTGATATAAAATGACTACTTTTAATTTATTGAAAAAAAATATTCAA